ATTAAAATGAAAAATGAGAAGAAAACTACATTACCCTGTCTTTGAAGCTGTTGTTCTTGCTTTTTCCCATGATTCTCTGTATTTGTAAGTGTTTCTTGGAGTTCCTGTAACTTCTCTTGGCTTTGAAGTTGTGTAAGTCTCAATTGAACTTCAAGATCCTGCATATCAGACAGCAAGCTGTTCCTATCTGAGGATGAAAGATGTTCCATGACTCTCTTTGGTTGCTGCTCCTCCTGAAAAGAAAGTTCATTTCATACACTGAAACAATATAATTTTTAAAAGCTGTAAATTCACATGCCTATTTTTATAGCACAGAATTTAAAACTAATTCAAACTATGAATTACATATCATTTACATTTTTAGGCTATTTGAATTTATATGTAAGGTTTTTTTCTGATTCCTTAGGGAAAAAATAAAACATTTAATGTGAATTGTTTATATTGGCACTGTTTTTGATTTGCATCTGTACATGCATGCATATTTCAGTGTATAAATGTGTATGTATGTATAAATAGTGTATGTATAAATAGTAATTTGAGACAAGTAATATATAATTGTTCTGTTCCTAATATGATGTGATTTCCAGACTAATTTTTTTTAGAAATAAAACACTGGAAAAAAATAGCAATACACAGCCATTTGCTTCTGTAATATTAGTGAATAGAATGTGGCAGTTGAAAATTATCATTTTACTTTACTGTTGCAGGCAAAAGTTTAGACATTTAGTCTAATTGTATGTTTCAATTCATCCTTAAAAAAATGGAACTTGGTACAACCTATTCATTATACAAAGTTAATATTGAAATTTCTTTGCAAATTTTAATGTATTTACTAGTTATGTTTTATAGATTCAGAATAGGAAAATAGTAAACATGACAGATGCAAGATACTGATTTCAATCAGTACTTTTTATCACATCCTTATTCCAAATATTTCCCATAGCCAGCTTTCTATAAGTGTTTTTAGATTGTTTCCCCATTCTTCTTTGCAAAACGCTTACTTGAGAAATATTCTTAAAGTCTCCTTTGTGCTGCATGTTTGAGACTTCCTTACAATAATATTCCTTCCAATAATATTCAAATCTGGTGACGATAAACATCATACCAACCTTTATCTTTCTTTCTTGTGAGTACTTCATAATTGCTGACTTTAAGGTGTGCTTCAGATTGTTGTCCTACTGAAAAACCATCCTTTTTCAACTTTATTTCCTTCATTGTTTGTGGGCCATAACCCTAATCCTTGGTATTTAACTGAATTCATTCTTCCTTCTATTGCATAGTATTTCCTGTGCCATACCACTGCCATGCCACTGCTACAGCAACTCCATGCTCAATGGTTGGCAAAGTGTACTGGAGGAACAGTTCAGTTTTTCTCAATCCAAAGCAACTTGTTCAGAAAACATCCAGATTTATCAAGATTTTTGTATGGTTTAAATAATGACTTATGAAAAGGTTGGAGAAATAATTTATTTATGACAACTTGCCCATGCAGATCATAATTGTTTAATCCCAAATGGGATTAACTACTCCAGTGAGAGCTAAATTTCCAAGAGGTCATTAGTGGTTTGTTATATCCTGACAATCTGACCAGTTTTCAGGCAATTATAGCATTTTTTTTCTTTAGTTCTAGAATTTGCTTTTCTATGCAGACCTATATTGATACATGATGACATCCTAGNGAAAGTCTTTTGTAACCAACTGATACACTTTCTACAGTATGTAAAAAAGGAAGATTTTATGTGTTGTGTTTGTTTTGAAAATTAAAAATAAAAACTTTAATAATAATAAAAAAATAGAAGAAATTCTTCTGTGCCACACTGAAAACTTGACAATGGGATATTTTAATTAATGTGATATCTACAGGAAATCTAACAATTATAGTCATCTCTTGCTGATAACCTCTTTCGCAGAAAGTGGAAGGAACAAAGGGAGAGGGTTCTATTTTGGACTCACCATTTTTAATTTTATGTATGTGCATATGTATAAAATACATTTATTGTATTGATTATATAAGAGAGTCAGCTGGCTGGATGACCTCGGGACAGTCATTTTCTTTGTCCAACTCACCTCACAGGATTGTTGTGGGGAAAATAAGAGCAATATGTATTAGGTGTGTTTTCTGCTTTGAGTTGTTTATAAAAATAATAAAAGTAGGACTCAATTCAACTCAAAACAAATCAATTAATCAATCAATTAATGTTCTTTACTCAAAGGCTTCAAACACAGCAATCTGTCCAAACCTTTCGGCAGTCCTTGCACAGATGATCTATAGGCTGGACCACAAAATTACAGCTCCATGTAGATTCTTTTATATGCAAAATGTATTATACTACTAAGGCAACCCCCCCCCCCCAAATAGGATATTCTTACTTGATTTTCTTGAGCTTCTAGAAGTGCCCTTAGACAGTGACATTCAGTTTGTTGCTCCTGTGCCATTTTTCTTTCTCCTTGTACTGTCCTGATCTCTTGATCTCTCATTGATTTGACAGCAGACTGCAATTGTTTCCATCCCATTTTTGTTTCTACTTCTTTCTCTCTTTGTACCTCCAAAGTATGAACAACATCTTGTTTTTTATTTTGCATCATTGATCCTGTAACTTGAATAGTGTTTTGGAGAGCTTGTTCTTGTTGAAAGTCTTTACAATGCAGATGCATTTCTTCCATGTGTTTTTTTGAATCAAATATCTGCTGCTGTGATTTCTCAATTATAGCCAAAAGTTTCATAGAATTGGACTTTTCTAAATGCAATTGTTCTTGCAATTCCTGCATTGAATCTTTATGTTTACAAGATCCACATTCATTTAATCTCATAGTCAGTTGTTCTGTCAAAACACGTTCATGGTTCAAGGCAGTTAACATGTCTGCATTTTGTTTTTTCTCAATATCTAAATTTTTCTGCAGTTCCAACAGTTTATTCTGATCCTTGGATAATAAAGCCTCGCACCGAGAATGTTCAATTTGGAGTTCTTTATGGAGATTACTGTTTGCTGACTGTTCATGCTCTAAAGCCACAGTTAATTGATTGTTCTGAATACACTGTAACTCCAAGGCAGCTTGCAACTCCTGTACAACACAAAGATATATTTACATTAATTACACTAAAATTCAAACTTGAATAAGTATGAAGTCTAATACTGTTGTCAGTGCAATTTCATGGAAATTAAGATTTGAGTCCAAACAGCTCAAAGAAAAACAGACAGAAGTATAGTCTTTAAGAAATGCAAAGAAACAATTTTGCCAGTGAAAGAAAGTCTACCCTTTGTAGCTATGTTTTCAGCTATGTGCTACACCCTCCCGAAGATAAATTGATTTATAAAACAGCAGCATACAATGAGGGAATGGGTCTGTCCTAACAAGCACTTACCCCAAAAAATATCTTAAAAAATTAAGTAAATTAATGAGACATGAATAGTAAATATATTTTTATCATTTCAATTGATGTTGAAAGAGTGAACCTATTTGAAGTGCTTTAGTTGATTGAAGCTTGCCAAACTAGCCATTTATAGCTATACAAATCTAAAGTGTGCTTTTGCTGGTTAACTGAAAATAATTTGATGATCTAAATTTTAAAATATTTTGGAGGTGGATTTACTGCTATTAGGCTTTTCTTTATAACTATTGGGAATTTGGACTGAATCTGTCAGGACATAAACATTGTGCAATATCCAGTAGATCTAACCTTCAATTCAGAGGTATTGAATTTGTTAAAGTCCTCAGAGAAGATTTTAACTGGTGAGCGGTGTATCTTATCAAACTTGAAAATATTTTGAATTTTCACATTTGATTTCTGTCTTATTTTTCAGCATCTTTGATCATGTCATGGCTGCCATTCTGCTAAGCTACGCATCGCAAGCTGGCAGCCTGACATCAGTAACAGGGGAAGGGAGCAGTGGGGGTAGGGATGCAGGGAGGGAACCAGGAGGAATCGAAATCAAGCCGTAGTGTCCTGAGAGAAGCCAATGCGTGAAGACAGGGACTGTTTCCCAAATAATTTGTTGACACCTAATTGGATAATGACTGATAACATAACCAGGGATTGGCCAGGAGCAAGGGAAAGTTAACTGTACCTTTTGTACACAAAAATCTCAGATCCAGCTTTACCTTTTCTGTAACTACTTTGGCTTTACTAAAGTACACTTTTGCCTAATCATGGACTAGGAGTTTTTCTTTCCTAATTGATCAGGTTGGGACTGCTGACAGACATTTTTGACAAATTCTAGTCATAGACTGAATTGTTCCCATGACTATCTACCCCAGATTTATTACATGTATCAAGAAATACAATAAAATAGGAGATACAAAAATAAATGCCATCTCTACATATTGAGGTGTCAGGTATTGACATAAATTTTATATACATTTATATTTATTATAAAAAAAACTAGGGCAAATTCTCTATTGTTTGTGGAAAAATGAAATTGCTATACTGAATTGGTTATAGCTGTCTTTTCATTGACACATATCTTTCTTTACTGTAAAATTGAATATTAGGTAATCTTTGCAAGATAACTATTGAAAGGAGTCCTTTAAGTATTTGAGTTTTATTTTTCCTAAGTAACTGACCTGGCAAGTTTATACCTTAGTATATTTGGAGGCAAATAAATAAAACAATTGGATGATTTTATCCTCTTTTATATTTAAGAAGTATTAACAACACTACATGGAACTGAGCTAACTAAAAATGAATGTAAATTGAACTTTGATGTATTCATGGTTAAATTAATTTCAACTTGACATTTTACCTAGTATTATTTGCTTGTCCAAAACTGTGCTATAGAAACAAGTGGTTAACTGACTGGCCTAAATGAATGCTTATTGAGTTAGAGAACCTAAAACACTTCCATACATCATGTACCAATTTCTTTGATTTGGATACAGGACTAACATTTAATCTAACTACAGTATTCCTTTATTTTTCAAACACGGCATTTAAAATTATTACATAAATTAATTTATGTTTATTTAGATTTGTTCTGAACACAATGAATGCTTAATTTTCTTGGAGCAGGATTTGAAGACAAGAATATAAAAACAGTGTAACAATAGCAGTTATCATTTTCATGAGATCTTTTACCTCTATAGCTTTTGATTTTTCATCCTCTTTTATTTTATGCTGTTTTTGCTGTTCATCCAACTTAATCTGTAATTCTTTGTTTTTAAGATATTCCCTCTGTAAATTCTCAAGTGCTGCTGTAATACTTCTCTCTTTATTTTCCAATGCAGAACTATGACATAGCATTTTAAAATATTATTTATAAAAATTGTTACATTAACTATTGTTTTTCAGCAAATTAGATCTTTAATGACTGAACAAAAATAAAATCAATATATTTTTCACATTATAGATTTTAATCACAGTGGTAAAAATAAATCAAATACTTTTTGTGAATCTTTTCATCCTGGTAACAAATACAGAATATAAAACGATTTCTCTATTTGTGTACACACAGGTGAAAACGTAAACTAGGAATGGTATATATCATTACTAAATTAGGGCTATGCGAAAAGGACAACTAAAATAAGAAATCATAACAATAATGAAGCTAATTACCACAATAAAATTAACAAAAATGCTTCTTTATGCAGGAAGCAGGCATTTTATTAGCAAAGTTGTAAACAGCCCAAGAGAATTTGAGCATCTATAAATTAGAATCTCAGAAGTGAGCCTTTATACTATACAGTAGGGATTGATGCTATATACTCTAAAATGATCTGTGAATTGGTGTGGACTACTCCTTTCTGGTCAAATTCCCATGAATAGAGCGAATGATTCCATGAGTGAGATAATCCTACTGAAGGGCCCATAAAAATCCTACATTTTCCTTTTTTCTTATGCAAATTTGAAGAACAAATATACATAACCCTATGCCAGAAATATAGTATGTTACTGGGAGGGCTTTCCACATGCAATTTACTTTGGAGTAACTTATACATATGATAAATAAGAACATGCTGCACACACAATCAAACTAATATCTGTATGAATGAACATTCAAACACAATAGTGTACATCTTCTCCTGATGCATTTATATTTTGCTGATATGTAGGCTGACATTCTCCCCATTTTTCTTCCTTTTCCACTCCAGGATATACCTCCCTTTTTCCCCCTTCTCTACCCTCTTCTATACACAAGGGAGATTTCCTAGTTCTCCTGCTCCTTCGCAGAGAAGGTGGTTACTGAGGTCTTTCCAAAAGTACATATTGGTGTGTCCTTCACCTGAAAAGGGAGGAAACAAACCTCTGGATCAAAGCACCACCCAAAAGCTCCTTCTCCCACTTGGCACTTTGTTTTCCAGTTGAGTCTATTGGGAATGGTGGTTGATTCCAGACTGTTCCTGTATGGAATTGTGATATTTTGCATGGTTGTGCAAAGCACTTGAAAGGGTAGGAGTAAAGATAGGAGTGAATCTCCTTTCTCATTGTGCCTTTCTACTGTTTTTCTCTTATCCTTTCTTGGCTTGCCTGTTAACAGACCCTAAAGTGTCACACTGATCCCACATAAACAAATGAATATGAGTACTGATAAGGTGCCAAGTCAGGGGATGTACCACAGGGGTGGGTTCTGGCAGAAACTACTGCTGGTTCACTCAGGGACGCGCTCTGCATGCATGCTTGATGTGTGTATGTGCAATGCAACTAAAATTGCTCTGTGCATGCACAGAAACAAAAAACAAGATGGCGGCACCTATGGTGCTGCTGGGAGAACCGGTTCGGGGGCGTGGCAGGCCTGGGTCACTGCCGGTTCCAGCGACCCAGGCCACCAAGCTACTACCAGTTCATCCGAACCTGTCCAAACCGGTAGAAACCCACCACTGATGTACTACATCCCTCCCCACATCAACCATTGTTTACTGTGGTTTGGTCACCCATGGGTAAGATTCAAATAGCTGCATNAAAAATGAATAGTGTTCCTTCAATTTTTCCTAAAAATTAGATGGGAAGTCTACCAAAACACCAATGTTAGCACTTCAATAAATGTAAATGGAAAAAACAGCCCTGTATTCCTTTCTGAAAACCATATAATGAAATATAAACATGTCTGTTCTCCTAAGAAGTCCAATTTTGAACAGACACACTGGAATTAAATTTAGGATTTGTATACCATCTTCTCCTAGTGCAATATTTCTCTAATTTTATCCATGCTTATTATTTGCTTAAAAAAGGCTGTGCACCTAAACTACATCTAAACTCTAGGTCTAGTTTTAATTAATATTTTGTAGCATTGTTACAGCAAATTCTCCCACAAACACATTATGTGTTTTTTCCTTAATTAAGGTATTATATGTAGTTTCTAGGAACACAATCTCTAAAGAAATGATTTTTCCTTTAAATTGCAGGCATACTTTCAGATGTGCATTTTCTTCTTTCAATTGGATTAGTTTGTTGTTGTTAGCATTTTTTTCCACTTCTAACTTTGATTTCAGCTGTAAGATTTCTTCATTTTTATTCATTAAATTATCTTTAAATTTTCCAAGTTGTTCTAATAAATCAGCAACCTGAAGTAAAATGAAATTATGGAATTAAACAAAGTATTACTATCTTCAATCATTCTATCAACATATCTTTGTAAAAATTCACACACATATATATGTGACACTAAATATATATATAAAATTTCATTAAAATGACTCCTAAACTGTAAACGTCTATCAAAAGAAAAAAAATGCATCCAGGTTTGCAAACCTGAGCTATAAACTCTCTTACAAAAATTGGTGATGAATGCGCTTGCTTTATTGTTTACAACCAATCATCAAGGAAACTCCCAGCTTTTCTTTCTTTCCTCAGATCAGAAAAGTAAGAGACAGTTTGGAAAATGCTAAAAAGAGACTTAATTTGTCTTATGGGTTGTGGAAATTAAATAAAAGCCATTTTGTTCAAGTATGGAAATGTTTATTGCATACTCCATTTAACCATGGAGATTCTTCTGAGAACTAAATAAGACCTAATATTCTTTGTATTTTAGAGAAAATAGAATCAAATGTTCCATCTGCCCATGATGGATAGAAACTAAATTGTGATGTTTCAAGAGACAGAGATTATTCTTTTAAGTGCAAAAACTACTACACAGGAAAAAGGATGAAAGCATCTAAATTCTGTAGATTTTCACTCTGATCAGCAGGCTTATGAATGGGAAAAGGTACAGAAGAGGAAGTCTACTTTGTAAGAATAGTAAGAAATAGCTAGAGGTGAAGAATTCTGCCCTCTGCCCCTATATTGAATCAGGTATTTCCAAGTAATCTGTAAGCTTTAGACGATTCTGAACATACTCTGCACACATGATACTCAATGTATATGGGTTATAGAGACCTGTTGTGGCCCAGCAGGATTCGGTTGAGCTGCTGATGGACTNCATATTAATTTTACACATTAATAATTACAGTGACTGTAAACAAAATTTTTATAATATCTTTGTACCTTGTTCTCTTTATTAGATTGTTTGAGATTGTTCTTCAGTGATTGTATTATATCAACCAATATTAGTCTCTCTCTTTGCCAACCCTCCACTGATGGACCTTGTTGAATCTTATCACCATCATCAAGAGGTAGTGATTTTTCTGATAGAACAAGCATTTTGTAACTCTCATCATATACCATCTTCAGCACAGTCTGAAAAGGAATTAAATGTTACTTTATGAGTACAAAAGGTCAACACTTAACAAAGCATTTACCATTTGAAAGTTTTACTTTCTGCTATGTTGCAATTTATAAATTAAGATTCCTACAGGCTGTGCCATTGAAGGAGATCCTTAATTATTATTATTATTATTCATCTCCATGTCAAAGCTTTTGTGCTGGAGGAAGCATAAATTTAAATTCCAGTAACAGTTGCTGTTTATATGTTCAGAAAAACACTAAAAGAAGACAGAGTAAATGGAAAAATTTTCTTAAAATCCTGCCTTCTGTTGAAATCAATAAATACCTTATTTAAAATATTGCTATTTCATATAGATAGTAGCTCACCCATTTATTTATAAGACATTACCTTCAATTGTTGTGACATCATTTCTGTTTCTTGTAAAGTTGGTGCAGTGACATCTGGAGTCATTCCAAAACACTGCAGAGGAGCCATGACATTGCTGTTTTGGCATACCTTATTTTTTGGCTCTGCCTGATTAAGCTGAAGTATCAAATCTAAACTAGTATCTGAAAAAGAATATTAAATACGTTATTAAAATAGAGCAAATTGTGCAAATGAATCAGTAGTTGTCTAACAATCTGAATTTCATTTAAATTGTGTAACTAGCCATGTTTATCACCTTTATACAGTGTTAACTCACCCTCTTTTATAAAGGGGTGAGTTTATTGCACTAGGAATAGCATGGATTTGGAGTTTCAGAAAAATGTTCGGCTATTTGCTGGCTCTGTGTTCACTTTCACTTATAACAGTAGATTTATGAGGAAATTCTTTAATGTTAAAGATAATAATATTGTGTTAAATTAGGTCCTTAAATTAGGAATCTGATAATGAGGAATTATAATTATGCCAGGCCTGGAGTGTTACTAAAAGAATTATTTTGAAAAACTGGAAAAATTGCATAAATTTTCTAAATTAAGAAATGGATTCAAGAGATAAGTAATTTATCTGTTTTTGAAAAAGCAATTTTATCTACTAATCAAAATATAATGCAATATGTTTCCATTTGGCAAAGATTTCATATTTTACAGTATATTATCAGTTATTCTTTTATTTAGAAACATTTAAATAATATTTAACATTTCATTGATATGGGATATCTATAAATGGATTCCTTCCCCTTCCTCCTTCGTTGTTTTTTATTACTTTTATGTTATTTTTTCCATTTTTGTATTTTTGAAGCAACTTGTTAAAATAATATTAATTAAAATAATAAAGTATATAGTGCAACAAAAGGCAAAATGTTTATTGTTCTCTGTGAGGGCTAAAGTGCACCAAATGGTAGCATGATTTTCTAATGCTTGTAGTTTGCTGTTAGCTTTTTGTATTTAATTTCTATTCAAATGACTTCCTGATCTGGTGCTCTCTAGTACACTTTATTTCATCTCCCATATAGCCAAGTCCTTGCCCATGCTAACTAAAGATTATGGGTACTGAAATGCATCTTTCCCAGGTAGAAGATCATTGGAGGGAGGGGGGGGGGAAACCTTCTAACTTAGCTACTTTATTTACAGCTTCTGTTCTTTTAAATTATTCCATATCTTTGTTTAGCCCAAAATATTGTCATAGAATGTTCCCAAGCTAATTCTAGGAAATATGTATCCATGAACTCACTGCTTCCATATTCAGTGCTTGCATGATGAAGTCTGGACATTGTCACTTTCAGACCATCTTGTAACTCAGGTGGTATCAGAGAGATTTCAGTGTTGTTTATCTATCAGATATCATACAGAAAAATGGAATGAATTCCTAGATATGTTAAAGATTGATCTACAACCACTCTTGCTTTTATTTATTTAATTAATAACCCATGTTTATGTTCTATTTCCATCCTTTTGTTCTAAAAATAGACTTAAATGGACTAATGTTACAAACAAAAAATTACAAATTAACATCAAAACTAAATCAACACAATTATAAATATAACTAATAGTGTCCAGCAATTACAAGTTGCTTCAGCAATATGTTCATTTAAAAGCCCCCCTCCCCCCAAATATTTGACTTTGGATATCTAGGCAAAAATTAGGAAAGATGAAATTCATCTGGGCTCCTTTAACCAGAACTTCTATCTCTGAAAATAAATTCCCAGAAGGTCCTTTTTCACATTGTCCCCAAATTATCTTCCTATCTTTCATAAAGCCTGTTCCCAAATTATACAGATCTAAATCAGTCATGAAGTAGACCAGTGAAGCTGCTATAACAATAGTCACAAATTTGCATGTAACCGTATGGCTGAAACAATATGAAACATAAATTTCTGAACATTTTTTCAAAGTACACAATACTAATTTAAACACTTATAGTTTGCTATGTGTTAATGTGACCAAACTGGTATTTAACATTGTTCAGTGTTAGCTGTGCAAATACACTGCTAATCTTTGCACTCAAGAATTAAACAAGTCCCTACTGCTGAATATTCTGAAGCAATATTCTACATATTTTACTGTACCCAAAGGAACCCTGAAGTAGAGGATCCTCATATCAGCGACTAAAATGATATATTTGTACCCCAAATATATCATTTCTCATAGAGAACTCATCTGAGGAAAACTTAGGTTTCTACAGAAACTCTTGTTCTCATAAGAAGTTCTGCGGAAGGGAGGTCTTTTTTAGATACACCAATACTTCAATCCCATCCTGAGCCTTGCAAAAATCCCCAACATTTACCAGAGCATTGGAAGCAGCAGACTCAATACTGCAAGAATCCAGTTTTACTATAAAAAAAACTATTAGGAAAAAAATCAATTTAGACAGGGAAAACATTCTACTGAATAATAAGACCTGGAACTTAAGAAAAGTGAATGGTCTCCTCAGTACCCCTGCTCAGATAAGAGCTCTAGCTTCGCTGTGCAAGGAACTGTTGCTCTCATCATAATTCCTATCAGTAATACATTAATAGGCTTCACAAAACACACATGCATCTTGCAAAATATTAATAATTTTGCCTCAGTATAAGGGGAGCATGCCATATAAATTAAAAGGCCTTCCACAAAATGTTGTAAGACAAAACACATGGCCATCTGAGTGCAGATCATCATGTGGTATGACGGGAAGGGTGTGCCTGGTCCTTTAATTCCAGTTTCTATATTCTCAAGTTATTTTGTTTATTCTTAATTTTCTTGAGTTATTAGATATACTTTTTATTTTTACAATTGCCCCATGTGCTGGCTACCAAAGTTTGCAGAGAAATTCAATCTTTTCCTTTTAAAGACTTCCAATAAGAGAAGATTAAGAATATTTTTCTTCTTACTTAGAGGATGACCTTTGGGCAGACACTACATCACTTCAGGCATACAGAATTCTGAATTGAAAAACTCAGCTTTTTTTCAGGAAAATCAGATTCTTTGGCATCGGTCAGAATATTATACCACAGTTCTTGATAGCTTACATAAAGCTTCACATGGTTTTAATTCTCTTGTTAAAGCAACAATCTTCTACGATATTAGGAAAAACATAAGCATCCAGAACTGTCAAGACCCCCCCCAAAAAAATTAGCAACTGATCTAGATTTTATCTGCTTCATTCAACCATGCATGCTAGTCATCTTGACTAAGCATCTTTCATTGGATTCCATCTACCATATATAACTTCACCTTGCCTTGAGAATTCACCAGCTAAGGTATGACTCATCAGATGCCTTTGCCTATTCTTCTGAATCCCGGGACATAAGTAGATTTAAGACTCCCTCTCTCAAATTGCTCCATCATTAATTTTTCATTTTGATCACCTTTTTCATCCAACAACCAATGCACTAATTATGTGGTTTCCATGAGAAATCCTTTGAAAATTTCCCAGGTAAAAACAAGGTACTGGAATAGATAAACCTTTGGCTTAATCTATACAAATGTGCTTTTATAGCTTGCATAGTTCAACATAATCAAATATTATTCAGAAATATTTTGGATCTTGTGTGATTATAGCATTTCTAATCATAAAAGTAACCCCTTTTTTAGGTTTTCATGTGAACCTGAAATAAATGTATTTGCTTCAAGATCACATTTTTTTTAAAGCAGACTGGTGTTCTTTTAGGCTTGTAGAGAAGCCTAAAAAAGAGAAAGTCTGCTTTAATACGTAGAGATGCTGCATTTATGAAAAGTGAAGCACTTCTTCCCAATCACTTTCAAAGCATGCACGAGATAATCGATAATGCTTTCCTTGGAACCATTAGTGAATGGGTAGAATAATTCTACATTCAACTGTTATGATAGCTCTCTTATTAGATTGCTGCAATTGTGTTTATTACTTCCTAAAGTAATTATATTTACTTTCAAGTCACTTACATATAATTGATTACTAAAAGGCCATGGCAGTATTATCTGAGAATTACCTTTGCTTTCCTGACAAGAGTTCATGGTGAAATGATACAAAAAGGACTATGACAAAGTAATTACCATTCATAACTCATTTAGTCTCCATGGGAACTGTTGAAGATACATGACTCAGCAACAAAACAATGTGAATATGGAAATAATTAGTCACTTACTGATACATTTTCTTGTAGACCACTGCACTTGTTAACAGAAGAGGTGGATTCTGAGAACACAGAAGACAAGACGTGGGGATTGGCTGCTGTATCCTCATTGCTATTAGAATAAGAAACTGGATATTCTAAAACTCTAGGAGTGTCTTCCTGGATGATTGAGTTCTCCGAGCATAGGCTTTCAAAGGCTATACTATGCATAACATCAACTTCTGAGAAGGGTGTTAGGGAAAGACTTGCTTGAAACTCTAAATTTGGGTTCTCCTTTCTCATATTCTCAGGAGAATCCCACAAAGTTTTATTCATGATTATATTCTGAAAGCAATTTGGTATTGTTTGAGAGATTTGTGAATTTTGAGAATCCTGATTTGATTGACACGTATTTTTAAAACGAAGTTTCAGATTTTGCTGTACGTCACTACAGTCTGTTTGCTTCCTCTGAATGAAAGGGATGTCTTGCAGTTGTTTACTGTGAATATTTGGATTTCTGCTCGAGATCTGCAGATTATTCACACTATCTTCTTCCTGTAAAGTAATACAAATCTTTAGAAAATAGCTGTAAATTGAATACTTCCTAACATTAGCTGAGATAAAACAGAAAATAGGGAACTGTGCAAACATCTTGTTTCTATAAAAGAAAATGAAGCACAACTACATTTCTCAGTACAAATTCAGAAAGGTTTAGTTTTCCTAGTCATCTAGTATTCAGTGATACTTCAAAGTAAACTTGTTTGAAATTTCCTAAAGTTGTGGAATTTTTCCCAATAGATATACTGACCTCTTCTTTTGATAATATATTTAGAGAGTAATTCTGTAAAGATCCATCATAGCAATTTAAGTTTTGGTATGATGACTTTGCAAGCTAGTATTATTGGTGATAGGCACATTCTGCTTACTGAAAAATGATTGATAATTTCCCTATACATCTAAGTTTCTTTTAACCATGTTTATCTTAACCTCTGAGTCTCCTATTAAAGATTTACCAATAATTGGGGATTAATACATACCATTGGAATAAAAAAATCAACAGATGCTGAAAGCATATTACTTAAATCTCTTTCTTCTCCCCCTTTCTCTTTTTCTTCAGAGGGTAAAAAGACATCAACATCAAGGGTCTTAGGGCATGTAACTTCTTTCTGGTAATTGTCTTGGTCATTTTCTATGGGGATCTTCAGCTGTGAGTGAAACATATCTTTTTCAGATCTTAGTAATTCCAGTTCTTCCACCTTTTTCTCAATTTCAGCCTTCAGTTCTGCAACAGTAACTTGAAGTTCATTTATCTTTCTTTGATAAGTGGTCTCATTATTGTGCACTGCTTGTGTCATAATTTTAAGTTCATTTTCAAGTTTCACAATATTTTCGGTCATATGCTGAACTTTAGCTGCCTGCTCTACATTCTGCTCTATTTGGAGTTGTAGTTCTGTCCCTAACAGTTTCATTTCTCTCTCTCTTTGGTGAACTTCAAGATCCTGACTACATGAATTTATCTCTTCCATTTCATCTTCCTTTTGCATTACATACACCTTCAGAAGCATGTGTTGTTCTTGTAGTTCTTTGTATAACAACTGTAAAGATGTTAGCTCAGAACAATGTTGCCTAGGAGATTCCTGAAGAGTTTCAAGATTTTGTTCTAGGATTTTAAATTCCATTTTAAACTGAGATTCGTTTTCATTAAGCAGCTGCTGCGAAGTTTCTTTATCCATCAAAGACATGTCTAGTTGTCTCTGAAGTTCATTCTGACTGGTACTAAGCCGTACACAGTTGTCATCACCATTTTCGTTTTCTAAAACACTTTGTGACCCTTCCTTAAATTTATTAAGATTCTCTTCTGGTTCTTCCAAAGAAAAATAATTTGGGTTGCCTTGCCTATTTTTAGTTCCATGATGGATGGGTATAAGAGCTCCTGACTCCTTCTGAAGCTTCTTAATTATTTTATGAAGTTCTTCGATTTCTTCTGCTTTATTTCTTAACAAATGCTCCTTCTCACTATGAAGTTCTTCTATGGTTGATTTCATGACTTCGGTTTCAAGCATTTGCTTTTTGAGAACCTGAAATATTACTAGGCATTAGTTCTGATGTATCTGTTTATTTTAAACATATATTATAAACATATTTATGTGATCTATGTGGAGAGCTCTGTTTAATGTCTTTAATATTGTGAAGTAGAAACTTATTAGGAACTCAAATAAAAACATGAATTTGGGCTGAAAAGAAATAATGACTCAAGCAAACTATTACAGGTAGTCCTCAACTGACATCAGTTCATTTAGTGCCTNTTATACTCTGAAAAATACGGTATTTAGGCAATCCTGTCCAATCCCCCCTTCCCAATAAAGAAATTCTATTTAAACCACTCTTTACATCTTGTGGTTGAGTACATTCAATAAAGAGAATTTCCCCCACAGTTCTGAGTTATTGGTTTCGTTCTAGAAGTTCTCTTTTGAAACTATCTCACTTCCTGTAACTCAAATTCATAATAAACATTTTCTTCAGTGGACTTAGCTTCTTATTCCTTTGATTATCATTGCTACCCTTTGAACATATTTAATGTTCTTAAAATCCACTCATATTTCAGGCCTGGTTCTGGAAGAGAAACAGTATTGATCACACTTGTGATTTGATAATCTTGCAAAAGCGTGATAGAAATCATGTATCCATCCTTGCTCTCCTTAACCTCTCCGCAGTTTTCAATACCACTGACCATAATAGCCTTTTGGTATGGCTGCAAGATCTAGGTGGCAGTTTTGCATTGGTTTGGCTGTTTTCTAAGGCTGGTCCTAATCAGTATTGAAAGAGAGTGAGAGGTCCAGTTCATGAGCACTCCTTTGTGATATATACAGGGCTTAGTATTTTCTGCGCTTCTCTTTAATATATAAGGTAGCTGCTGGGAGACATCATCTGCCACCATGGGATAAGGCATCATTAATTTTCTTGACAATACTCATATCTTCATCCAGGTGACCCACATGTTACTGTTGCTACCGTCTTGCAGTACTTGGAGGCTGTGGGGTCTGGATGGGGACAAAACTCAGAGAAGCTATAGTTGTATGGATCTTCTTTAGTTCTGGATAGGGTTGCACTGCATCAGATAGACCCCCATGCACAACTTGGGATTCTTCCTAGACTCACAACTTTTACTTGAAGAGCAGTTGGCAGTTGTGGCTAGGTCGCTAGGAGCAACTTTGTAGAATTTTGTGTTGCATGCTAGTTGCACTCTTTCCTGAATCATGGGTCCCTGCAATCAGTCCCTCAGGCCTTAGTCATCTTGCAATGTGATTAGTAGAAGTTGGTAAGTAATTATTTTGTTTCATTTTTGTTTCCTAGGCTGTAGAGTCCAACTACATTTTGTCAATATCTCCATCTTTGGCATTCCAGACTCCAACCATATGGAACTCATTTTGCTTATATGTTGTGTTCACTTTCAGATTGAATTTGACCATAAAACTCATCAACCTCCTTTTTTTTTTACATCAGTCATTGAGTTTAAACTTGGATAATCTTCCTAATAAAGTCCAAGAAGTCTAATTTGTATTATTTGGTTATTGTTTGCATTATATCCATTGTTCCTGCTAAATCCTTCCTGAAGCAATGCTGTACTTTTTTGTTTTTCATGTCCTAGCTAATGAACAGTATGATCTTCTGACTGAAAATGTCTAATTCCAGGCCATTTCTATTTGTTGATGTTAAGATGTCAATGGACAGTTCATGAATATAATATTTTATTGTATTCTGTTTTTTCATGATCATGTTCTTTATGTTCCATATTCCCACTATAATTCTTCTTTCCCACTTTAATTTCACTGGACAACTTTTTTCAAAAGATTTGCTTTCTGGAAACCTTCTGATGGTTATCATAGATTCCTTAAAACTGAACACAATTTCAGAATGACATAACACATAGGAATCTTGAGAAAATGAAATTAATTTTCAGTTATTATAATGTATTTAATTACTAATATTTCTGACATGCTGCATGAGTTCAACAGAGTCAGAAGTGTTTAGTAGCTGATTTTGGTTTGTATTCAAGTGTCCGATGCTCCTCACTGCAATTTCTAACAATAGCCAGCCAGCTGGGATTAATAGATTCCAGTTGCCCTGATATCACTTTTTCATTATGGCAATATCCTAATGAAAAGCTTCACTATGTTTTTCACTGACTGCACCTAGATTTTGGGGAAAGGAGTCCAAGTGTGAATAAAGAAAATGAATCTTAGTGACATTTTGAATTCCATGATTATGTGTCATAAGAAATTTGTCAACCAGATGAGAATGTACGTTGGTACTCTGTAGTTGCCAAGAAAATTCTCAACAACATCCCTGAATGCATTCCAGGCAATTTTCTCTAAACTGACTAACAGATCTTCGAATTGCTTGACACTAATAATGTATCTAATCTGTGAACCAACAAATGCCCTCCTTAATCTTGGCATCAGTTATTCTTGGAAACAATTTTTTTAATTAGTGAATTTTAGGTAAAGCGGAGGCAAAAATATTTGTTGGGTCAACAAAGGGTTCATGTGCCACATTTTTCTATCCTGGAACCAAATTATTTCAGAGTGGCCCTTTCTTTTTAATGTAAGGTGACTCTCTTGGACGGTTGTCCCATCTGCATATGTAACAACAGTACTTGTTATATCTGAGCTGCATTTCAAGCAGCAGAGCCACTACTTTTGGATCTCCTAGATATTCCAGTTGTATTTGGTAAACGGGATATGCTTCAACAACAGTTCCATGTTTTGTATGTTTCTTTCATGTGTGCAGCACAGCCAACAAGTACTGAAGGTGTAAATTGCCATTGTATAAAAACAGAATATTTCTATAGAACATAAAGGTTAAATTATAGGTTATTTTTGTGATTAGCAGCCAAAAATCTGTAAGACATACTCAAAAGTGTTCAGGAAGCAAATCTTCATTATCCAGTGTTTTCTTTAGCTTCACAGAAACATTAGCAACTGGCTAACCTGAATGCTTTAATCTAACCACTTCATTGATACTATTAGATCCTCAGCATTTTCTCAATACGATGCT